CTATGAATATCCAGTGTGCAATGGGAAAAGGATAGATTTGGTTATATGCTGGTCATGATTCACCGAGCCAAACAGCAGTAGTTAAAGGCACTTGAACATGTAGATCTCTTTGCTATGATTATGTTGTTATGTCTTTCTGAGTTGGTAACCTATTGTACAAACAATTTACTCCTCTGCAATTACAGATTTGTTGACAGTGATAGTGTGGATTGGTGGAGAAACATCAAGAACAGAACGAGTCTTAATCTTATCCTATTAGTGGGAACTCCCTCGTCTTTAACATCTCAGGCTTTGCAAACTATACCGGAAAGAAAAGTGTAGTTCACCATGTTGGAATCGTCATATTTGCACATGAATTTGATCACTGCAAGAACAGATGGTAATATTAGCTTGTGTAGAAGATTCAGTTTGTTTTGTTGCATCTTCTGCTCCTGACTTTTATGTCACCTAATAGGTACCCTAGAGTTCTTATGCTCATGATATTATATCTTTTACTGTAGACACAAGAAATTTGTCTCTGAAAGAACTGACTGATATCCTTGTTGAAAATGAGAACTATCTGGGGAATAGACTGATAGAGAAGATTAGTTCTGCATTGGCTGCTTGTATTTCCTAAGACGAGCTTATTGTTATTTTGGATGTAGCTGGATTATTCATGAGAACTACCCAAGCAACAATCTCTTTGCTAGGAGCAAATGGAGGCAGCACTTTTCTTGGATGAAAAGGAGAGCTCTTCGGTGATCTGGTGGACTAAATGGTGAAAGAATTAGGGGGCTCTTGGTTCATGCTCTGAAATTGGAAAGGGAAATGGAGTAATGGATAGAAAATCAGTATGGGTTTGAATGGGCGCTATCATTCCCACAGCCAATGCTTGGTGTGGGATGCGTATTAAAATTTATTCTTGCTTCTTCTTTTTTTCTCCTTTGGATTTTTTGTCTTCTTGGCTCGATGCCTCACAACCGCTACCAATCAAAACTTCTTCTTTTGTTCACTGTTGGAATTAAAATGAAGGTTTTGGTCAATTCCTCCCAATTTGGTTAGGAATCATGAATGGCCAAATTTTAAGACATAATTTCAATATTTCAATTCTCATTGCACTGGACCAAATGCGCAGTATTGAAATTATTGTAATTCCAAGTACCAAAACCCCTAAACCATGCGACCCCTTAGTATAGAAGAAAGCTAAATGATCATCTACAGCAGCAGCAAGAAGGGTCACTTTAGTCAAACATATACCCATTATGCAGACGGTCAATATCTAATGCCATCTTTTGCGTTGAAGAATTAATCTCCTTATGTAACTTATTTTTAATGATAGTCGTCAAATTTGCAAATCATTTTGTACTTTAAATTATTACAGTCTCTAATCTATTATCTATCTATATCTATATCTATATAAAAAGTATGATGTGCCTTTAGTGTGAGTGTAAATAAAAATTGATCTTAGTTTTTGTAATACCAATATTGCCCTTGATACTAATAAATGGACAGATTACATTGAGTTTGTTTAGATAAGAGTTTATTTGCATGATTTATTTGAGATAATTACTATAGCACTTTTTGTGATGTGATGTATGTAAGATAAAAAGGTGGTTGGAAAGATAAAAAAAAATGGTTGAAATTTGTAAAGTAAATTTTTTAATTTGAAATTAAGCCAATCCAAACAAACCCATTGTATTTCCTTAATAATTAATAAGAATTATGCTAACAATTACAAAAAAGCATTTATTGAATTGTGGTGATTCTGGTGAACTAAACCGAAAAAAGAACAACCAATTCATTGCATCTCATCCATAATTAATATCAATTATGCCAACAATTACAAGAATGAAAAACATTCCCTTGAGTTATAGTGAATTAAATCAAACAAAGAACAAATTTTATTTATAAATTATAAAAAAATGGTGAATCTTAGTAGTTAATAGTGTAAGCAAAAAATGATATTAGTTTTTGTGATGCCAAAATTACAATCCTCTCTAATAAATGGATAAATTGCATTGCATTTCATTATTAATAAATAATATCAAATATACTAACAGTTACTAAAATGAAAGATTCCTTACTTTTTTTATTTACCAAAAGAAAGAAGAACAAATTTTATTTACAAAATCCAAATTTCGAAAGTACTTCAAACATGAAACAAAACATAATAAATTGGTACTATGAGTCTCTTAAAAGGTATCATGAGTCTTTTTATTTTTTGGATACAAGTAAATTAAACCTTACGAGTACCTTTTTAATATGAGTATATTAGTATTGAGTAAAAAAATTTAATACAAAATATAATAGGAATGGAGTACCAACATAGGCAAAGAGTTTTATGTTGGGAATTTATTTATTTAAATTGCAATAAAAATTAAATTTAGGGAACTTTATAAATCATAATCTTGTAACAACTAATAGTATTAAACTACAATTAATGAATATTATATTCATTAATGCTAATCATAATAATAATTACAAAGGTGAAACATCCCTTTGAATTATGATGAATTAAGCTGAAAAAATATTTTTGTAATAAAATATCAATTTCAAGGAGTACTTCAAAGGTGAATAAAAATATATCCAAGTTCAGTTTGACTATTATATAATAAATAATCTTAATATCTTACAATTTTTAATCATATAAACTGTATAATCATAAAGCATATCATCAATGAGAAATACAAATAAGTTTCACCAAATCAAAACATTTCTCTTCAAAATTAAGCTATTTAAATTCAAAAAATAGAATTTCAATACATTTAGATACTATTATAATTAGGGTAAAATACAAAAAAAAAACCCCTTGTGGTAGACCTAATATACAAAAAAGCCCCTATGATTTCAAAATATACAACACGACACCCCATATTTTGAACTAAATTGTAAAGGTGATGGAATCCGCTAAATTTAACGGAAATGACTTATTGGAACCTAAAAAATTTTTTTTATACCTAATTTTTAACAAAAATACCTGTTCTATCCCTTACCCTTCAATTCTCTCTATCTAGAGAATAAAATAAATGATTTTTTTGAGTTGTCTTTTGTTTAATTATATCAGGGCATTTTGGTCATTTCCCCCATTTCCGTTAAGTTTAACGGATTTCGTCACCTTTACAATTTAGTTCAAAGTATGGGGTATTGTGTTGTATATTTTGAAACTATGGGGGGTTTTCTGTATATTAGATTTACTACACGAGGTTTTTTTTTTTTTTTTTTTTTACCCTTATAATTACAATAGCACCATAGATCATTTTGCAATCTATCGTTAACAAAAAAAAAATAATTAGAAAATCTCACTATAAATGATAAACAATTCATAGAATGACTTAAAGGGGAGCAAGAAATTGTTCAAAAAATAAAAAATTTAAATTCAAATGGCATAAAAAAGAACATTTAGGTAAACTAAATTTAACCAAATGACAAAAATATTGTGCTTTTGAGACAAAGAATGATTTATTACTTGTGCATTTGTATTGGTTATGACTAACAAAGTTCAAAAAAAAATATATGTATATATAATAATATAAATATTAAATATCAAATTTCTTTGTCTCAAATACATTTATTCCTTCGAAATAATAGATCTAGTAAAAACTTCAAAGGAAATAAAAATCTAAAAGCATCATTATACCTCACAATTGGGCGGATTGGACGGGTTGATATTGGATTTTCATTTAAATGGGTTACATCCAACCCGCACAAGTTTAGATTGGATTAATTTTGGGTTGGGTCATATTGGGTTATCTCAAAGCCATGACCCAAATATGACCCAATATATTAAATAATAGATTTTGATACATAAACTCTCTCAAATATATTTTCACATACAAAAAAAAAAAAATCACACACATAAATACATTTTCACATAGATAGATATATTTTCACACATTCACTTTTTAAGTTCTTTTGAAATACATTGTTATTTTTACACATACAAACACACTAAAATACACACTAATAGACTTTCACAAATACACACACATACTAACTGTTTAAAGTATTTGGACCCAATCACACTTTAAAGAAAGTTATAAACTGAAATTTTGACCCAAAAAATAAACACAAAAGAATCATGCATGATAACACATCTGAGTCGTTGTAAAATGGAGAAATGAGTAGTTGTAAAATGGAGAAATTAGAAACATCTAAACAATACATACATTAAGGCGCCTGTATCTCACCTTGGGCTGCCATTGGATTTGTATTGTGTAGCAATTGGACACCGTTATGATCTTATGTTCCCAGTGCACACAACTCACAAACACCAACATTTAATAGTCATTAGGTTGCATCCCATTGAGTCGTTACAAGACTTTAGCTAAAACTAAGAGCCGACATACGGATATGATCTTGTTTGGATGGTCAAGATTTCGTGCACTGGGGTTATACCTGATCATACGATCTGTGGGGCCCCACATATTGGGAAAGTCATTGACCTAATAGATCAACTCCTGTGTGCGTGATCATGCATTTTGTATTTAATTTGTTTATTTGTTTTTTAATTTAAGTTGGGCAATGGGTACCCAACATAAATACTCAAATTGTCCAAAATATGTATGAGTTTTTATTACCCAATCCAAAATTGACCCAATACCCAACTTACCCAAAATAGATCAACTGCTAGGGGCATATATGAGTTTAATCAAGTTAATATCCTATTATTCAAGTTTGTTTGATTATTTTAACGAGTTTGAAATTTTGTTTAAATATATCTTATTTATTTATCGAATCAAATTTTGATGAGTTTTTTTTATCAAGTTTGAATATTATAAAATATAAAACGCTGTTTAAATTTAATTTGACTAGCTAGACATCCAAGATTTAACGAGTTTTTATCAAGCCCAACTCAATTTGAGTATCAAACTCATCTTTTAGCCCTAATCACTATTCATTTTTGTTAGGAATTTTATATTTTGATGACTAACATTCTTAGTTTAAATACTTAATTCTTACGGGTTTACCAAATTTGATCCCAACTATTGAATTCGGACAATACCCAATTTCGGCCCCGAACACTACTCTTATTTCTTAGCAATTTGACTTTAGCTCCAATTAGATCCAAAACCAATACTCTGTATTTGCAACTCTTTTGAGGGGATACTACTTAGTCTGAACTACCTTAAAAGCCTAGTCAACTGATGATGTTCTCCTCCGGTGGCAACGACGGGGCCGGACCCAGCTCATCTTCTTCTGCCCCAGAAATCTCCGGGAACAACAAGAAGAACAAAGGGATCGCTACAGCTCCAAACAGAACCTCACTCCTATCATTGAATGACCTCATGACCTTCCGACCGCTTATTTCACCATCAAAATCAAACTCCCAAAACGGCGTCTGCTCTGATGACGACGATGATAACAGCCGCCCACCAGCTGTTCGACGTTATGCCTCCACGTCTTCTGCGGCTTTCATAAGCAATCATGAAGATCTCTTACTTCAGATTTTACTACCTTTACCCCCAAAGTCTCTTATTCGCTTCCAATGTGTCTCCAGACAATGGTTTTCTCTCATTTCCAGCTCCCATTTCTGTCGTCTTCATTCGGGGATGTATCGAGTATTTTCTCCGGAGGTCGGTCTGTTCTTGTTCCGAAGAATATATGGGACTTCAGAGTTCAAAGCTCTCTCTCTTCTTCAGCATGACAGCTCACATTCAATAGGTATTCTCGCGTCCCGTTTTGCTCATTTTCTTAATGCAGATGGGCAAGTTCTCGGTTTACATTGTTGTAATGGGTTGATGTGGGTTGATTTTTACTGGAATTATGAAGTAAGGAGGTATTATGTGTATAACCCGACTACCAATCAGTATAGGCAAATTCCCATACCCGAGATTGATAGATATTCAAGAAGGATTGAAGCTGTAAATATTGTTTTTGATCCTTTGACATACGACCAGTACAAACTTGTTTGTGTATTTGCAAAACAAATAGCTGGGGAGGAAGGGTGGGATGAATTTATCTTCTGGCAGTATTCATCTGAAACTCAGGCTTGGAAGGATTGTGGTGGTATTGATACTTGGGATGAATCGAATTACAGCTACTATTTCGAGGAGGGAGTGTTTTGGGATGGTAATTGGGATGAATCGAATGACAGTTACTATTTCGAGAAGGGAGTGTTTTGGGATGGTAATCTTTATTGGGTAAATTCTGCCAGGTCTTTACTTTGTTTTGATTTGGAGCTGGAATGTGTTAGAAGCTTGAATGTTATGAATACTTATCCACCATCACCTGATGGGGTTGTTTTCTACTTCGGCAATTCTGGGGGAAGTTTGTATCTCATTGATCTCTATAAGCCAAGAGATGATTTTCTTAATGTATTTGAATTGGAAGTGGATATGGGTTTGGGGAGATACCATTCAAGATGGTTGCTCAAGTATCGTGTTGATCTTGGTCTTTTGACAGCACGGTATCCATTAATGTCTGATGAGAAGTTTCTTAATTATCGGGAAAAGGAATTTCCCTTTGGTGTACTATGTTTTCAGGTGGATAAGAAAACAAATAAGGCAAAGCTTATAATTTCTTTACCAGGTAAAATTATTTCCTATGAGATTAGTGACATGATTTTTGAAGAGCTTGTTGAAATAGACCCTGCATATGTTAAATTTGTAAGGTATAATATGTCAATATACACATGGAAGGATGCCTTCAATCATTTTGAGACCCTTTCTTGTGTTTGATAACTGTTATCTATTGTTATTTTTCATTTTGAGACCCTTTCTCGTGTTTGATAACTGTTATCTATTGTTATTTTGTGCATTTGCCAAATGACTTGATCAATTGCTTCTTCATTACGGCATGAAGACTCGCTTTCTTGTGTGCTTTTCGTTATCCATTTTCTTGTTTGTTGAGGCCTAAAGACTCACTTGCCTGCTATTATGCTTCTTATTTTCTTTTGGGTTGACGGAGAACTTAGGAAGGCAAACCAACTTATCTTACCAACGTCATGATGAAGTAAGAGTTGGATGACCAGAACTGGGGAAAATCCACTTTTCGTCCCTAAACTTTGATGTTAGGACACATTTCGTTCCCAGACTTTTAGATGCACCACATTTAGTATATGAATTAATTATTTTTTACCACATTTAGTCTAAAACGGTAAATTGCTTAATTTGGATGGAGAAAGTCACGTGTTTGGCACGTGGCCTTTAAACAAAAAGAATTTTTCAGTCAAAATCAACGGTCACGTCAACCTTCTTCATCCAAATTGAATATTTTACCCGTTTTGGATTAAATGTAGCCCAAAATAATTAATTCATGTATTATATGTGGTGCGTCTAAAAGTTGGGGGTCGAAATGTGTCCCAAACTCAAAGTATAAGAATGAAAAGTGGATTTTTCCCTCCAGACTGGATAGCATGGAATAGAAGGGTCGAGAATTAAATCTGCTTCCTTGCACTACAGATTTGTGTTGCCCTCTGCCACTGGGTTACATTTGCAAGGAAGCCTTACTTTTTAAAGCTCTAAGGAGCATTGCAATTTCCCAGATCAATTTTTGATTAATTGAGCATTATTTTTCAATTTTCTTTTTCTTCTATGGCCTCTTGGATACAGAAGCAGTGATTTCATTTGATACTAATGAAACTCACATGGAGGAGAGTATTAGAAGTAAACTATAATAAGATAGTTGAGCGTGGTATGTTCTAAGTCTGTGGATATCAAAGCATAATTTTTTAGTAGGTTAAAAAAATGGTGTAAAAGTTCATAAATAGGAAAACTAATGTTGGTTATACGATGTATATTTACCTGAATATACACTTGATGCATAGAGCTTAAGTAAATACGATAAGAACCTTCAAAGTCTTATTATTAGTTGTTTGTTGAACTATAATGAGGCAATTCTGGGTAATCTGTCAAGCATGGCAATGTTGTGTGCTGCATTCTTGAGGCCTAATGGGGCCTTAAAAGCGGGGTTGGAGCTTGGATGGGGAAAAAATTCATGATTGTGCTAAATAAAGCAGGGGCTGGGGAAAGGTCCTCCTGCCTTCTGTTTATATGTTTACCATAAATATCCTGTATTTCATGTATTTTGAAGTTCTTATCTGATCGTGCATAAGTTAGTTATTTGAATTCTAGAATCCATCAGCCTAACATGCTGGCACACTGAGGAATCAATCATGGTAAGGTGCTTAGTTGCTGCGTTTTAGTTAATGACCTAACTAGAGACAAGTTCATTCAACTTGCATGCAGTATGATGCTAAATGGAATTATCCACAGAGCGGAAGGTGTTCAATTATATATAATTAATCAGTTGATCTCCAGAATCCTAGACTCGGTTTTGATACTTTAAACAACTAAAGCTTATGAGTAAATTAATTGGCAGATGATCGGAAGTTATGGAGCTTTGTTTTATTTGTTCTGATACCATCGTGAATAAGGTTACCTGCAGCAGTTTCTTTTCTCAATGGTTGTTTTCAAGTCTATCTTCATAAAACCCAAGTTCTATTTTGCCTCGTTGAGCTTTAAGAGTGAAGTCATGGCGAAGAAAATAGCTGTATGTGGTTCTTTCTGGGAATTGGATAGGGATAGGGATAAATATCCGAGCATTACCTAAAGAAATTCGGTTTGTCTTTTTAGTCATAATGCTTTTAGTGAGAAGAAAACTTCGGCCAATTGAAATGTTAAGATTTCAAATTAAGTACTCGTACTTTAATAGGTGAGTAAGACTATATAAGTCCTTTATTTTCTCCTCTATGGTTAAGCTATAACCATAATTAGTATGAATATTTTAGAAAAATCAAAAAAGTGAGAAACACCAAAATGTAAATCTTTAAGGGTACTTTTATTTATACTAGTAATAGTTCAAGTGCTTTACACGTGATTGTAATATCTTAAAATATGTTATTCTTTAGATACTAAATATTTTTTATGAAATTTTGATCATCAACATCATAATATAGTTTTTTTCATGTTATTTATTTTTTTAATCTAGTTACTTTTAAAATTTTTATTAAATGAAAAGAGACAGAAACCATTCCAATGTAATTGACATGTCCCTTAGGATTAAATTTGAAATCATGAATCAAACACTTTTTGATTTATAGCTTGAACTCTAACATATCAAATATTAATAATATCATGTTTTACCAAAATTATTGTATATTCATGATTCTATTGCATATAAACCATGACCATCACAATTTTTTACAAATGAAGAATATGATTATGTTAGTAAAATAAAAATACATGTAATTTGAATTCTTTGTATTATGTTAATTTTATTTTTGTCAATAATGGAGCAAAATGATTCATCACGTAAAGTTTTTTTGACTTGTACATTTTGACAATTGAAATTTTATAAATGGAGATAGTTGGAGTTTTTCTATTTTCCTTTTCTTTTATTCATATTTTTAGCACAATCCAATGCGAAGCAAAAGTAACAAGTCTACTTTTTTCATATGAGCACAATATTTTTGGTTTTAGTATCAGTTTTTTTTTTAAGATCATGGAATTGCAATGAGAATGGTGACTAATTAACAATCTTAATATTGATTGTTTGTATATTGCCGTGTTTTATTTTTTAATTACCAACTTTTAATCCATAATTGCTATTATTATTATTATTATCAATTATTGGAATGTACTAAATTCGTCTAATTACAATTGTCACCAGAAATGAAATTTACTTAATTTTAAAGCTTTTCATTTCATAATCGCTTCCATTATTCACTAATATTGCAATACAATAAATATATGTAATTATTAGAAAAATAAGGGTATTTTGGACATCACAAAAAATAATTTGGATATCTTTTTCATTTTATCATTCTTCATGTTAAATTTACTCTTATTAGAATTCTTATTTTATCATTGGAGATGGCTTCTAATTTGATGGATGGATTTGGTTTGCTCAAACTAATACAAATAAAACATTACTACATTATTATCAATAACAATGTTTGTCTTCCTCTGGATATCAGTGATTTGGATGTTGTTTTTGGAATTATTTGAATTGTATTCTAGTTTTTTAATTCATTTGCTACTTACTTTATGTCATTTTATAATTAGTTTTCAATTTTTTTTTTAGTTTTTCTTGTTTTGATTAGTTGTTATTAATGATAATAGTGGTTTGTATGGTATTATTTCAGATTTCTTTTTTCCAGTTTAATATGCTATTTTTGTTATAAATGTGTCATCATTTTTTCTGTGTTGAAATTCCATAAAGTGCAACATGAAAAATTCTTCTTATTGGTAAAAAGTGCATAATTGTAAAATTTACTCGTGATATTTGAATGAAGATATACAAATAAATAAGGGTTCTCTTCTCCTTATATGTTTCTTTGTTTTCCAGAGAATATCTATTTTTTGAATTTTTTTTTTTTTTACAATCTCAACTAATAACTATTGAGAAATTTTTCATGCTTCAATTAAGAAATTTTGATACGTATAATAATTGGAGATGGAGTCTAATAGGTAAATAGTTTTTAATGATTATACTATTAAGATGCAATCAATTGGAGTGTTTTACTTCTTTTAATTAGTGCTACATTAAAATGCAATAACTTTAATTAAAAGATATGAGGTTAATTTAGGACTAACAAAAATTAAGATAAAAAAGTGCTTACAGATACCCTCCAAATACCAAAATTTATACTTTTTGTATAGTAATGATAATGATAGAGTATAGATAATTATAGAGAAAATTGTATTAATTGTGAATATAACAATAATAAATATTGCTCAAACTTTTAGAGGTCAGTTATCAAATTTAATTGCAGCCAATGAACTCAAAAATTGTAATGGTATATACTATACATAAAGATAATAATTTATAAGTAAATCTTATATATACAGATAATGTATGCACTATCATCATTTGATTTATGATGTGTGTAAAATTTGAATTTTAAACTCAAATTTTACATAATTATCATTCGCTGACGATATATATACTGTCAATATAAAAAAAAGATTGATCCATTAATTAATGCCCTGTACGGTATGATGCAAAACAATAACAATCTTTTGGCTAAGTACCTTTTGCTTTGTTAGTTTATTTTTTACAAGCAGTGCCCAATTTCCGCCCTGAAGGCTACTCTTTCTTAGCAATTGGACTATAAACTCCGATCAGAACCAAAATCAGTACTCTGTATTTCCAACTCTTGAGGGGATACTACTTAGTACATAACTACTCTTTCTTAGTACAGAACTACCTTAAAAGCACAACCCTTAATCAACTGATTATGCTGTCCGCCGGTGGCAACGACGGGGCCGGACCCAGCTCATCTTCTTCTGCCCCAGAAATCTCCGGGAACAACAAGAAGAACAAAGGGATCGCTACAGCTCGAAACAGAACGTCACTCCTATCATTGAATGACCTCGTGACCTTCCGACCGCTTATTTCACCGTCAAAATCAAACTCCCAAAACGGCGTCTGCTCTGATGACGACGATGATAACAGCCGCCCGCCAGCTGTTCGACGTTATGCCTCCACGTCGTCTGGGGCTTGCATAAGCAATCATGAAGATCTCTTACTTCAGATTTTACTCCCTTTACCCCCAAAGTCTCTTGTTCGCTTCCAATGTGTCTCCAGACAATGGTTTTCTCTCATTTCTAGCTCCCATTTCTGTCGTCTTCATTCGGGGATGTATCAAGTATTTTCTCCGGAAGTCGGTCTGTTCTTGTACCGAAGAATATATGGGACTTCAGAGTTCAAAGCTATCTCTCTTCTTCAAGATGACAGCTCACATTCAATAGGTATTCTCGCGTCCCGTTTTGCTCATTTTCTTAATGCAGATGGCCAAGTTCTCGGTTTACATTGTTGTAATGGGTTGATGTGGGTTGATTTTTACTGGAATTATGAAGTAAGGAGGTATTATGTGTATAACCCGACTACCAATCAGTATAGGCAAATTCCCATACCCGAGATTGATAGATATTCAAGAAGGATTGAAGCTGTAAATATTGTTTTCGATCCTTTGACATACGACCAGTACAAACTTGTTTGTGTGTTTGCGAAATTGATAGCTGGGGAGGATGCGTGGGGAGAATTTATCTTCTGGCAGTATTCATCTGAAACTCAGGCTTGGAAGGATTGTGGTGGTATTGATATTTGGGATGAATCGAATTACAGTTACTATTTCAAGAAGGGAGTGTTTTGGGATGGAAATCTTTATTGGGTAAATTCTGCCAGGCGTTTGCTTTGTTTTGATTTGGATCTCGAATGTGTTAGAAGCTTGAATGTTATGAATACTTATCCAGCATCACCTGATGGGGTTGTTTTCTACTTCGGTAATTCTGGGGGAAGTTTGCATCTCATTGATCTCTATAAGCCAAGAGATGATTTTCTTAATGTATTTGAATTGGAAGTGGATATGGGGTTGGGGAGATATCATTCAAGATGGTTGCTCAAGTATCGTGTTGATCTTGGTCTTTTGACTGCACGGTATCCATTAATGTCCAATGAGCAGTTTGTTAATTATCGGGAAAAGGAATTTCCCTTTGGTATACTATGTTTTCGGGTGGATAAGAAAGCAAATAAGCCAAAGCTTATAATTTCTTTACCAGGTAAAATTATTTCCTATGAGATTAGTGACATGATTTTTGAAGACCTTGTTGAAATAGAGCCTGCATATGTTAAATTTGTGAGGTATAATATGTCAATATACACATGGAAGGATGCCTTCAATCATTTTGAGATCCTTTCTTGTGTCTGATAACTGCTATCTATTGTTATTTTTCATTTTGAGACCCTTTCTCGTGTTTGATAATTGTTATCTGTTATTATTTTGTGCATTTGTCAAATGACTTGATCAATTGCTTCTTCATTTGGGCATGAAGACTCACTCTCTTGTGTGCTTTTCATTAACCATTTTCTTGTTTGTTGAGGCATAAAGACTCGACTTGCCTGCCATTATGCTTCTTATTTTCTTTTTGGTTGACGGAGAACTTAGGAAGGCAAACCAACTTATCTTACCAACGTCTGGATGAAGAGTTGGATGACCAGAACTGGATAGCATGGAATAAAAGGATTGAGAATTAAATCTTCTTCCCTGCACTACAGATTTGTGTTGCCCTCTGCCACTAGGTTACCTTTTAAAGCTTTAAGGAGCGTTGCAATTTCCCAGATCAATTTTTGATTAATTGAGCATTATTTTTCAATTTTCTTTCCTTCTATGGCCTCTTGGATTCAGAAACAGTGATTTCATTTGATACTAATGAAACTCACCTGGGGGAAAGTATTAGAAGTAAACTATAATCAGATAGTTGAGTGTGGTATGTTCCAAGTCTGTGGATATCAAAGCAAAATTTTTTAAAAGGTTAAAAAAAACTGTGTAAAAGTTTGTAAATAGGAAAACTAATGTTGGTTATGGGATGTATATTTTCCTCAATATACCCATGATGCATGGAGCTCAAGTAAATACGATAAGAACCTTCAAAGTCTTATTATTAGTTGTTTGTTGAAATGTAACGAGGCAATCCTGGGTAATCTGTCTAGGATTGCAATGTTGTGTGCTTGCATTCTTGAGGCCTAGTGGGGCCTTAGAAGTTGGGGTTGGAGCTTGGATGGGGAAAAATTCACGATTGTGCTAAATAAAGCAGGGGCTGGGGAAAGGTTCTCCTGCCTCCTGTTTATATGTTTACCATAATATGTATTTCATGTATTTTGAAGTTCTTATCTGATCGTGCATAAGTTAGTTATTTGAATTCTAGAATCCATCAACCTAACATGCTGGTACGCTGAGGAATCAATCATGGTAAGGTGCTTAGTTGCTGCGTTTTAGTTAGTGAACTAACTAGAGATGAGTTCATTCAACTTGCATGCAGTATGATACTAAGTGGAATCATCCACAGAGCGGAAGGTGTTCAATTATATATAATTAATCAGTTGATTTCCAGAATCCTAGACTCGGTTTTGATACTTTAAATAACTAAAGCTTATCAGTAAATTAATTGGCAGATGATCGGAAGTTATGGAGCTTTGTTTTATTTGTTCTGATACCATCGTGAATAAGGTTACCTGCATAAGTTTCTTTTCTCAATGGTTGTTATCAAGTCTATCTTCATCAAACCCAAGTTCTATTTTTCCTCATTGAGCTTTAAGAGTGAAGTCATGACGAAGTAAATAGCTGTATGTGGTTCTTTTTGGGAATTGGATAGGAATAGGGATAAAGATGCGAGCATTACCTAAAGAAGTTCGGCTTTGTTTTTTTTAGTGAATGGATATGCTTTCAATCATTTCTAGGCGCTGAATTGTGTTTAATCTTCTGATATGTTTCCTTTGCCTATTTGTGAAATGACTTGATGGTGGGGTGATGTGGATGGTGTAGCAAAATTTCCCTGGGCTTTTTGGGTTTTCTCTTTTTTTTTTTTTGGGGGGGGGGGGGGGCATGGGGGTGTTTGGTGGAGTGTTGTCTCTAATTCCAAGCACTGGGGGTTGGGTAGGCTAGTGGCAGAGGGATGAAGGGAAGGGATGGAGGAAAAGGAAGAAGAAGAGAAAGTAAAATGTTAAACAAAACAATATATGGTCATTTAATTGTTGCCTAATCAGAGGAGGATTGGACACTAATCACACAGTTTTAGGGGATTATTACAAGAGAAATTAGCAGCCCAAATATAGACTTCAAAGCTAGTGGAGTTTACTGGAAATGACATGGAAAAATAGCGAAGGAAAGAGCATATTGCTTTAACGGGAGACCTGAGTTGTTTGGTGTAATGGAAATTGGCATATTGCCTTGGCAGTATCGCCATCCCAGCATCTGAATAAGAACATTTGATTGGGGCAATTACTTTAGCCAAATGGGAAAATCTGCTGAAATTTACCTTATTTGCGACCATCTCTGAAAACAAGCTCCCTCAGTCCCTGTGGCTCCTGCTTCGCCAAGCATCCTATGCAATGCAACCCTGGAAATCACTTTCACTCAATAATAGCAAAAGAGTAATACAAGAAAGGCTCGTGATGACGCTTCGTCTTTCAGGCTAAAAAGTCCGATCCCCGTTGTTCTTCATCAACTTCAAAACTTGCCCTAACTGATACGAACAAAGATATTGGTTAGACCTCCAAGCACGACTTCATTTTAATCACTTGCATACCTCCTCACTTTCAAATGAGAATGTCAAAAGGGTCGGGCGAGTCTGAAGTCTGAACTTGACCTGTCCCATTCAAAAAATGCTCATTGAGTTAAAACTTTAGTTGGGTCGGACAGAATCTGAACCTAAGTATTAGGCTCGAACTAAATGTGAGTTGAGATTGGGTTATATTAGGCTCAAACCTGATTAAAGTTCGGTCCATACATGAGTATAATTATATATGTAATATATATATATATATATATAATTTATAATTATACATATTACGACATAAAATGTTAATAATTTATATAAATTTGTATTAATTCATAAATATAAAATATATATTATATATAAGGGTTAAATGTATAAATCCCAATGAACTATTGTACTAGTTGCACTTTACATCCTAAAGTATTTTAATAGGCACTTTACATCCTTGGCCAACTAAAAAATAATTTAAAAATTAATTTTATCCAAGTAATTGATGAATGACCAATTTATTCTCCATTAAAAGCTTAAGGAACAAAAATACCATTTTGGTGGGAAAGATTACTATTTTAAATAGACTAATTTTCACTTTGCATCAAAAAGGCTAATTGTTAACATATTAAAAAAGAATACTGTTTTGCTTTGAATGAGAATTAAGACTATTGAGATCAAAATGGGTGCAAAATATGGAAATATTAAGCGACTATTGTGGTAATTTTAAAATATCATAATTTTCTTCAATGCATTATAATGCCATAACTTCATATAATCAGCAAAATTTCACTTGAAATCTTTACAAGAACAAAATTGGAGTAGAATCCAAAAATTTTCATATAAATTTAGCACAATAACTGCAATAAAGTTGCAATACTGAACTAAAATTGAAAACCACATATTAGTAACAAAATAGTGTACTCAGAAATTTCAATAAAACTCCTAAATTATTTACATTTCCTTGATAACAAACTTTTCTTACCTAGGCTAACTTGAAATATGTAGTAAAATAGGGTTACTGAGATTTTTGAATTGAATTTATTCCCTTTCTTCTTCTTTTTTTTTTCCCTTCGTCTTTTGTTTTAGTTGTCATTCAAATTGATCATATATTTTATTATTTTATGTTTTCAATTAGAATTTTATTATGAAGTGAAAATGAATCCATTTAAGGTGACAACTTTTTCCACCAAAGAAGTACTTTTGTCACTTTCAAGCTTTTAATGGAGGATAAATTGGTCATTTCATCAATTATTTGGATATGGAGTTAATTTTCTTACTATTTTCTAATTAATTGAGGGTGTAAAGTGCCTATTAAAATAGTTTAGGATGCAAAATGTAACTAGTGCAATAATTCGTGAGGGTTTTCTACATTTAACCCTCTATACAATTATGTATTTAATTATGAGTGTGGGCCAAATTCAATTTGAGTTCGAAACTCATATAATAGTGTGAGTTGAATTTGAACCTTTTAATATGAGCCAGAAATCCAAAAATTTGAAATCCAAAAATTCATATAATTTGTGAGTTGAGGTTGGACTTGTTAAAACTCAACTAAAAAAGCTTAATTGACATCCCTACTTTCAAATCTTGTACATGTGTCATGCCCATAAAACACACCCTACTTCATAGATTTAACTAACTAAGTACACAAGGCATCCAATATCAAAATAACTAGTAAAACCGTTTCAAACCATATATAAATCATGCAATTTACAATCAACTAATAATATGGGCAAATTTTTAAGGTACTCGAAGCTAAGAAAAGAGTATCCAAAAATATAAAATCGATATTTTAACGATAAAATCAGTATTTCTTTATGGCGAAAGCTCATGTAGACCCTCACCCACAGGTACTGCCCCTTAGCTTGCAATTATAGACCCTTACATGCCCCACTGCTAGGTAACTTTACGAGAAGGTGTTGGGTAATAAACCGGAGTGCACTAATACGGGTCAAGGAGATTTTTTTTTTTTTTTAAATACAGAAAGGGTCGTCGCGGGATGTTGGTCCGACGACTGACAAAATTTTTTGGGATAATTGCAGAAACCTCCCCTGAGATTTCTGACATTTGCACTGACCTCCCCTCTAGGTTTAAAAATTGCATTCACCTCCCCTAAACAGTAACAATTCATTGCAGAAACCTCCCTGACAGCTTTTGTAGAAGTGAGATAAGAAATTTCTTCCAATTTTGCCCTCTTCTTGCTTGACAATTATTATTTGCTTGACAATTGCTTAACTAATTAACTAATTAGTTAATAGTTAAACTAATTAACTATTAACTATGTGAGGACCAGTAAATTTTTCTTATTTTTATATTATTTTATTTTATTTTCTCGTATGCATTTTCTTCATTATACCTTATTATATTGATTTTTTTCAGATATTTTATAAGTGAATAGAGTTTTTAAATCATTTTCCTAGTTTAAGCTAGTTCATATTAAGTTTGAAGCGCATTATGGATGTGGGGCCCGCTAGTGTGCTAAGTGCGATAAAGTTTTGCCGATTAATTGAAGTTTTGTATAAAGAAATATTACTTTATAATAGCTTTACTACTCAATCACCCCGCAATAAGTGTAATGAACCCCACAATAAGTGTAAATGAACATAGAATTCAGGGTTTTCCCTTTTGTTTTCAAGATAGTGCGAATTAGGGTTTTTACGTCTATCCGTAGTGTGACTATCCGGTACGGAGTGTGGATCAAATTTGGTGATTAAGAGTGAATTTTAGATGATATTAAGTGTGTGATTAGAAGTGATAATAATAAGTTAGTGAATTATAAGTAAAAATCCTAATATACGCGATTTAAGGAAAATCGGGTTGAACCGACGGGTACCGTTTGTTACTGAATAAGTGCACCACTTGAGCACCACTTTATTACCTTAATCCCTTTGGTATTAATTGAACAAAATTAGCCCTAAATATCTTCTCCTTTTAGTCGAAAATGTGGAACAAAAAAACAAGAGAGAAAAGAAAATTTTGACTTCCAATTAAATTGTGACACTTGTCAAACCTTTGACCAAATTAACTCCAACCTTCTTATCTTTTCTAGAGCTTTGTTTCTTCTTCATTTCTGCATATTGCTGGCCGAAACTTGAGAGGGGGAAAGGGAGAGAAAACTTCATTTTTGCACTTCAATTTCAAGCCTCAATCTTGAGTTTCAACCGATAATCTTGCAAATTCCTCCACAAAAGTTAATCTCCAAGGAAGCTTAAGGGTTTTGGTGGAGTGATTTGGGAAGAGGAAGGTCTTGGCAGCTTCTTGACATAGGGATTAAGGTGAATTTGGTAAGAAACTTCCCTCTACTTCTTATATGTGTAAACTAGAAGCTTAAAGTTGTAGTTTTGATGGATTTATGGGGAAAATCTCATGGGTTAAAAGATATGTTGGGATGTTTAGCTAGGGTTTATATTGTCAGCCTTGATTATGGTTATCTACCTCTTAATTGATGTTATTGAGCTAGTAATTGGTGGGTTTGATGATAGAGCACTTGTTAGATATGAATTTATAGAGTAAAGGTGCAAATTTCAGAATTTGGAAACCAAGCTACCCTGTTCTGCCCGGTTCTGGTTGACCATGATGGAGGCCGAATTAGTCTTAGCACAAAACATAAAAGTTGTAGGAAATGATGTTTTATAGTTTCCTGTAAAATTTCAGCTCGATCGGAGCACTGTAGCATGTGAAATGACCGAAATACCCTTGACTGCCCATAAGCCCTGTTTCGCGGACAGTTTTCTGTCTTCGTGGATATTTCAATTTTTGACTCTAAAAATGCATGATTTAGCTTTGGAAGCCTTCATAAGAAATATAGGTACATGTCTTGGCTTCGAAACGCCATAAGATACACCTCAATCGGACTTCGGTACCCTCAGTTATTGTCGTTTAACCATAGTGCGGTTAGCTAACCTGTTTGTGAGATTCTGGTTTCGTATATTGCAATGTTGACCTAGCTACACTACGAACTGGACTGAGTGGTCTTCATCAAAGTTGTAGGCCTTTGTCTTAGCTTCGAAACAGTATAAATTGCATCCCAATCCGATAAGCGTAGCCTCAGTTGTGTCTGTTACGCAAAACAACGTCAAATCTGTCTCTTGTTTTCTGATTTAAACTTCATTTCCGGACATTTTCCTAGCTTGAATTTGTACTTGTACCACTTTGAGCCTATTGAACAGCTATTGAAATGAGATTATTTTGTGTGTGACTTTGGGATTGATTGAGAAAAACAATGAAGCTATAAATGGCTGGAAAATATGTAAATACAGAGGGCATGTTGCCCAAAATTTTAGGGCTATGCGATTCCTTCAAATTGTGTTGATCTTGGTAAAAATGATGGATTTTGGGAGTTGTTTGTAACCCTAGAACCAACTGTTATCTTTTTGCTCAAAAGTCATATTTTATTCTTTTGTACTAGTACTTAACTTGGGAAGGCATACGACTTGTAGTCCAGCCTCATTGATGCATTCCATTTACTAGGTTTGTGGATGTGCGAACTATAATTGTTTTATTTTGGTTATTTTAGGGTTTCTTAGCGATTAAAGCCACTTTGGGTAAAAACTTTTGAAGTATCTGTACTGGAACTGGTGAGTGTACTACTTCCCTAATTTGTTACTATCTGGCTATCTGTGACTTCTGTATATTCTGTATGAAACGAGGGTGTACTTTATCGCTCTCGTTTCTCTCATCTGTTACTTGTTTCTTGCATACTGTATAAGTCTGTATTTGCTCTCTGTATCTGTTATCTGTATCTGTTCTCTGTATAAGTCTGCGATCTCTGAGCTCAAAATCTGTGGCTAGTTACTCGAGTCGAGTCGACAAGAGTCTGGTCGATTAGATAACAAACCATGGTAGTCTGTTTCTGGGAATCTTTGGGTATTGAGACTCTTGATTCCGGTATAATCGAATATTACCATTTCTGTTTCTGTTGAGGTGTTCGGGCCCGGTAGGGGGTATGTTCGGTGGACGGAATCTGGTGTAAAGTGAGGTCTACGGACATGTTGGTTCAGTATACGTTGACGGAGAGTCAACGGGTTGGGATCAAACTCTGCAACGAAAATTTGGTTCCTGAGAGCCACCCGTATCCTTTCTATCTGCGGTGTTTGTTCATTTCCTTACTTGATTTGCATATGTGACTATTTGAATATGAAGTTCCATGATTCTTACCTGCTATTATTTTGGTACCTCATTGAGCGTAAGCTCACCTCCTTGCTGTTATCTTTGTTTTCCTTGCAGGAAACCAAACTTTGAATCCATGATTTTGGAAGAAAGGGTCGAGCTAGTGTAATTAGTATTTTGTTAAGCTCTTTTGCAACCGAAACCTGAATCGTATTTTTATGTGTATGAATACCTTGGCTTGTATTTTAGTTTAGTTAATTTGCCAAAGACTCTGATGTAAATATATGTATAAGTGTAAGGATCGAAAACAACCAAGTGAAAGAGATAAGCAGTGTAAAGATCACAAACGTAATAATAAATAAATAAAAAGGAAAGAATTGCAAACCAATTAACTACCCAACTCCTCTTGAGCTTGTAGATTAATTCAAATAAGTTTCTTCAAGTTGATGAATTACAATCACTCTTACGTACAAAGGAAGGTTCACCTCCTCCTTGCCCCAAACACCACTCGGTCAAGTCAGGAAGTTTTTACTATCCCTCAGGACAACCCTCACAGAGCTACACTTATAAAATATTCACTCACAAATGAAAAGTTTACAATGAACCTCACACCACTAAGACTACAAATCTTCTTCGAAGAGTATTTTCTCACTAAAATCACTTTAGATCTTTTGTATCTTCAGTGTGCAAAAGTTATTTTAAATATTTGACCAACCACTATTTATATAGGATCAAGAAAGTGGCTCATTAATGCTTCCAACGGATAGAAAGTAGTTGAACAGTCAACTAGCCGTTGGAGTATCGGACATCCGGTACTCCTGTTTTTTGTGTCCGACAGCAGGCAATGAGTTTGAGAAATTTTCTTCAATTCTATTGGACGTCCAGTGCAAACTCTTTGTGCGTCCGACAGTAAACAAAGAGATTTGAGAAATCATCTTGTTTCTATCGGACATCCGGTGGAGACATATTCAGCGTCCGATGGTTTCGTCGATTTTGAAGGATCCTATCGGACGTCCGATGCTTGCGTCCGATCGAGGTCAGTGATCCAGGGAGAATGTCTTATTTCCTTCGGACGTCCGGTGGTGGAGTTCTTCATACATCCGAAATTGCGCAATGATTATCGAACGTCCGATCCAAGCGTCCGACAGCTTTCAGCAGCTTTTGTCCCTTTCAATTGCACTTGATCTTTGAATTTGATTTGCTTCACAACTGAAAATATTTCTTGAAGAGATATTAGAATTATCCATTGTTTTGTAAATATCAAAAGCTAGGGACCAATGTCAACAATAAGTGTATAACCTGGTCTATTAAGTGTATTCAGTTGAGATCATGATTTTATGGTTTGGTAAGTATGTTCTCACCTTAGTAGTCTCCGATTGTTCGTTTTCTTTGGGTCCTATCACGCGCGTACCATATCGGGTTTGTGTGATTCAACTCCGTAATTCTGGCGAGAGTTGGGCAGGCGGTCCGCCGAACCATTTGGTTCGCCTTAGGGTGAGGTGGGGCTGTCACAAACTAATTATCTGATTAATTATTAACTAATTAACTAATTATCCAATTATCTAGTTATCTAATTAACTAATTAACTAATTAATTAATTAACTAATTAACTAATTTCTATTTATCTAATTAATTGCTTAACTAATTAACTAAACCTGTTGTCTGTCCGAAACTAACAAACTATTTGCATGTTAAACTCATTAACTAATTAACTGCCTAACTAATCAACTAATTAACTAACTAATTAACAGACTATTTGCATGTTAAACTATATGCAGTACGCATTACCTATTTAAAGTATCGGCTCTTTATGGGTATTTTACTTTCAAACATTTAATTTATAATAAAAACATCAATGTTTGTAAGTAAAATTCAAAAAGTGTTACAGTAATATTCTTACAAAAAGGGAGGGGCATAGGGCCATAAATTAAATGTTTGAAAGTAATATTCTTACAAAAAGGGATGGGCATAGGGCCATAAATTAAATGTTTGAAAGTAAAAATATTGATATTGTTTGTAACACTTTTTGAATTTTACTTACAAATATTGATATTTTCATCATTAATTAAATGTTTGAAAGTAAAATACCTATAGAGAGTCGATACTTTAAATAGGTAATACGTACTGCATATAGTTTAACATGCAAATAGTTTGTTAATTAGTTATTTAATTAATTAGTTAATTAGTTAAGCAGTTAATTAGTTAATTAGTTTAACATGCAAATAGTTTGTTAGTTTCGGACAGACAATAACTTTAGTTAATTAGTTAATTAGATAAATAGAAATTAGTTGATTAATTAATTAGATAATTAGTTAGTTAATTAGTTAAGCAGTTAATTAGTTAATTAGTTTAACATGCAAATAGTTTGTTAGTTTCGGATAGACAACAGCTTTAGTTAATTAGTTAATTAGATAAATAGAAATTAGTTAATTAGTTAATTAATTAATTAGATAATTAGTTAGTTAATTAGTTAAGTAGTTAATTAGTTAATTAGTTTAACATGCAAATAGTTCGTTAGTTTCGGACAAACAACAGCTTTAGTTAATTAGTTAATTAGTTAAGCAGTTAATTAATTAATTAGTTTAACATGCAAATAGTTTGTTAGTTTTGGATAGACAACAACTTTAGTTAATTAGTTAATTAGTTAATTAGATAAGCAAAAATTAGTTAATTAATTAATTGGATAATTAGTTAGTTAATTAGTTAAGCAGTTAATTAGTTTAACATGCAAATAGTTTGTTAGTTTAGGATAGACAACAACTTTAGTTAATTAGTTAATTAGTTAAGCAGTTAATTAGTTTAACATGCAAATAGTTTGTTAGTTTCGGATAGACAACAACTTTAGTTAATTAGATAAATAAAAATTTGTTAATTAATTAATTAATTAATTAGATAATTAGGTAGTTAATTAGTTAAGCAGCTAATTAGTTAATTAGTTTAACATGCAAATAGTTTATTAGTTTCGGACAGACAACAGCTTTAGTTAATTAGTTAATTAGATAATTAGTTAATTAATTAATTAATTAATTAGATAATTAGTTAATTAGATAAATAGAGATTAGTTAATTAGATAAACAGAAATTAGTTAATTAGTTAATTAATTAATTAGATAATTAGTTAATAGTTAATTAGTTTAATTATGTAGAAATAGTTTGATTAGTTAATAACTATTAACAATTAGATAATTAGTTAATAGTTAATTAGATAATTAGTTATTAATTAATTAGATTATTAGTTAATTAGTTAATTAGTTAAACTATTCAGAAATAGTTAATTTAGTGTAATTTTTATTAACAAATGTTTTGTTGGGTTTGATGAAAGTACTCATCACATTCATTTGGTAAAATTAAATCATGTTAGGGGTACTTTAGTAAATTGACCCACTTTTGCCTATTAAATTGCCTCCAACTTTTGATAGGGGAGGTCAGTGCTATTTCAAAATTGATAGGGGAGGTCAATGCTATTACTATAAAAGTCAGGGAAGGTTTCTGCAATTATCCCAAATTTTTTTTGAAAAGCAAACCTACCCAAAAAGTTAAAATTTTTTAAAGAACCGTGGCACTAGCATCTAGTTTGTTAATATGTCGTGTTTACTACCAACTTCTGTTTGTTAGTATTTCGTGTACGTATAATAGAGTTTTAAATTTGTTCTAATTACATTCTTTTACTTTTCTCTAACTTGTTTTCATTTTATTATTAATAATTCTTCATCAATATTATAATACAATAAATTTTATGTCTCTTAATTACATTTTCAAGCATAATATAATCTAACATCCAATAATTTAAATGCATAGAATATTGCAACTTACAATAAAGCAGATATGAATAGTAAAAGTGTTAAATAAGTTGTGACAAAAATAAGTTTCAATCAATTAGTAGCATTAAAAAGTATAAAGTAAACGAATTGTTTTAGCTAATCTATTTAAATGTACAATTTATTATCTAAAATTCACAATACAAGCAATATACAATATTATTCTATTTATGATGTGTTTCCAAGAAGATTAAAAAGTGAGTGTGTTAGTGTGTTAGTGTGTAAAAATATATTTATGTATGTGAAAATATATTTATGTGTGTGAAAAAAATCCTTTTGTGTGTTAAAATGTATGTAAGAAAGTTTATGTATCAAAATGTATTAATTAATATGTTGGATCATGGGTTTGAAATGACCCAAATATGACCCAACCCAAAATCAACCCAATTTAAAGTTGAATGGATTAAATATAAGTATAACCCAATATCAACTCGTCCATCGTCTGCCCAACCTGTCCAATTGCCAAGTATAAGAAAACCTCAGGGAGGTTTCTAAAACTATCCTTAAGATAAAAAGATAAGTATCCCAATTATAAACTGTCCTAATAAGCTAACGGACTTCACTAAAAATAATTAAGAGATAAACAAAGGAAAGGAAAGAGCATTTCACTATAGCGGGAGATTTTAGTTGTTTCGATGTGACGGGAATTGGCATATTGCTCTGGCAGTATTGCCATCCAGCATATGAATAAGAAAGTCCGCCGGAATTCATCGTACTTGCCAGCATTTTTAAAAGTAAGCTCCCTATTGATCCTGTCTCTCGTTGCATCTCGTGCAATGCTTTCACTGCATAGTAGTAACATCAGAAAGACTCGTGATGATGCTCTCTGCCTTCGGCGACAAGTCCGATCTCTGTTGTTCTTCATCAGCTTCAAATCTTCCTCTTAGTGATAAGAAGAAAGACATTGTTAGACCTCCAAACACAACTTCACTTCGATCGCTTGCAGAGCTCCTCAGTTTCAAATCCCTTATCTCATCATCAACAAAATCAATCCACCAAAACCTCCTGCCTCACGACGATGCTCTAGTGGCTCCACGTCGTGCCCCTTCCTCATCGTCATCCCCCTTCTCAGCTACAGTCATCAGCAACAATGAAGATCTCTTAATTCAGATTTTACTTTTCCTGCCACCAAAATCGCTTATTCGCTTTCAGTGCATTTCAAAGCAATGGCGTGCACTCATCTCAAGCCCCCGATTCTGTCGCCTTCACTTGCAGAAGAGTCGCACCACCTCATCTAGTGCTTCAGAAGCCGGTCTCTTCTTGTATCGAAGAATATACAAGAACTTTGAGCTGAATGCTATCTCTCTATGTCATGACAGATCAACTGCAATGGGTATGATATCTTCACGCTTCGTTAATTTTCTTGGCATGGAGGGTGAAATTTTAGGTTTTCATTCTTGTAACGGGCTAATCTTCATTGATTTTTGGTGGAATTATGATATTCGAAGAT